GTCTTGCTTTGCCTGTGTCTGTAGGATCAGCACCGTACAGTATTTGCGGCTTATAAAATCTCTCACTGGAACTGTCCTCTGCACACTCAGGAGGCAGAGATAGAACAAACTGTATCCAGTCTTTTTCTCCTGTATTTATAAGCTTGACCCATACTGCCTCTTTACACAGCCTTCCCCTCAGGTTTTACATTTATATACACACCAAAAGTAAATGCTTCCACTCAGCATTGGGTTTCAGGGCATGTTCACCAACAGTTTTATTTATCACACTTTATCATTTAGGACCCCATTTGTGGTAAATGTTATTTGCACATCCTGCACTCAGCAGTTAAAACACACACACACACACACACACACACACACATCCACCTCAAAACTCAAAGAAATCTGAGTAACCTTTGAGATGTTCTTTCTTCTTGCTGTATGCTGGAAAGATTTCGCCATGTGCCACAGGATGAGGCAAACGAGTGAAACGTCAAAATCCTGTGTTACTCTAAAAATAGAACAACATGCAGGTTGCCGTTTGAAGACTGGGTGTGGAGCAGATAAAACAAACAGTTCTTCATACCCAACGGCAACGAGAGTAGAGCTGCCAATTGTCCTCTGCTGAGAATAGAAGAGAGTGGGTTTTACAAATGTTTATGTATTTAAGATTGTCTTTTTTCTTATCCATTATCATGACAGATGATGTGGCAGAGAGGGGCCGTTTAAACAGCAAAATCAGCCTAACAATCACATGTCCAAGTGCAGCCATGTACTATAATCTACAGCGCATCACTTATTTATATATAAATTACATAATATTTTTCATGACGACACTCTTATTGAGAGAGAACCCTACGTTGAGCTCATCATATTTGTTCTTGTCTATGAGATCAGAGTGTTGGTCCAGGACACACAGCTCAGCAGGTTGTGTCCACTTGTCACAGGTCACTTTGGGATAGGCACTAAAGTGCACACTGAATGTTCAAGTGTCACTACAAGGTCTTACTTATTGCAGGGTGTGCGTGAGGCTTAGAGATAGGTATTGCAGCTGATGGCAAAAATGTCAGAGGGTTAAGCTGTAAAATCCCCTCCCACTGTCTCTCTGCCTCTCTCTCTCTCCCCCCTCTTTCCTCTCTGTCTCCCCATCACTCCGAGTTGTTATGCACAGTGCAGCGGTGTCCCGCGGGGCCAGAGATTGCCATGGACATGATGTGATTTCTCATCTCCTCTCAGCTGTAATGTGCTCTAGTCCAGGCCTTTGATGAACTTGTCTCTCACTGTTTGGAAAACACGCTGTTCTCTACATTCCCCTCCCTCTTTTTATAACCAGCATTTATTTCTGCCCATCACAATTTATATGTGTATGACCAGTGATCTTTATTTGGAGGCGGTGTATAGAGGGCAGGCTGCTTTACAGATTGATGATCAGTTACAGTTTGGTGCTAAATACGTGATGTACCTTAATGCCTGATGAGGTTTGTTAGCCTGTACCTTATGTCTCTGTTATTTAACGCTGATGAAGTGGCATGCTCTTAGTTTATTGATTAAGATTAGTGCTATACATACACTCCATACATGCACACATGCATTGTTGCCATTGATAATAATCACTCAGCTGGATTTGTCCTAATGTGATGACAGCGAGTGAAAGCTGCACTCGGGAGCGTGACAGGGACAACATCAGCCTTGTGAATCTCTGGCTACAATTAGGAAAATTGCATCACTGCTAGCTTTGTTAATTTGGTGTGGAAAGGGAAAAGAGGCTTTTTGGTGAGTCTTATAAAAATGTGTTTTATGTGATAAATACAGTCAGCTCTGGATAAGAGATCCAAAAGACAGAAAAGGGCTAAATATGAAGTTGATTTGGAAGAAGTAGACTGTACATATAAAAAGGTGCAACATTTCACTTACCTGTAGATCATTTCAGATGACTGTAAGGGATCACATAAGAAATATTGAGGCTAACCTTAATACTGTGTACACTCAACCTCCCAAAAGCCGCCTAGTTTCTGCTTTGTACTGCTTTGCCAATTCTGTTCAGGTGTTCTGCTCTTTCAGTAAAAGCTACCCAGCACAGGAAGCTTAACTGACATTTCTTGACTGCTGAAAGCATTAACAATTTATCACAACTTGTGATGTAATCCAAAATGTAACAGTGAATCTGTAAATGTCATCCCTGAAAGCTAACTGAAATCAGGTTATGCCTATTTTTAAACCTTATAAAAATGTCCCACTTTTTAAGTAGTGCTCCGGTCCATGTGGCTCCAGCGAGATGGTTTCACAGTCGAAAGCACTATTTATAAAACAGCCTCTTGGTAATTAATTACACATTTACAAATCTAATTAAACAGATGAGGCATTAAAACACTAGAATATGCTTTCATTTGTTAAAAAGAATCAGGGTTATTGGGGTCTGTTGAATCCTGTTAGTAAACAAATGTCACCCGAACCTGCACATGACGAGGCTGGACAGACTTGTCAACGCGATATAGTCCGAAGAAATTGTAATAGGCAGAAACAGTGACAATCAGTTGTGGTCTATAAAAGACAGGAGCTGAAAATAGAGGCTCTAAATCTCAACAAGTTTTTTATTTCACATGAAAACTTAGCAGATTTTCATTTTCACAGTCTATTTGAAGCATAACTGGGAGTGGAAACTGTAATTCGTTGGTGTTGAGCAGACATTGCATAATAAAGAGGCAACAGAGTCTTTCAGACCCCCGGTTGTACATCTGAGAGTAAAACAGTACGCTGGTTTGACTTTTCTGTTGTGTAATTCTGAGGTTCTTGATAGATTTGCAACACAACAGTCTAGTGAACGAAGCTGGTGTATGTGTGCTTCTTACTGTGGCATGAGCTGGTGTGTGATCTCAGAGACACACAGAGGAAACCTTCCACCCTGTGGTTGCACTGCACCGCTGCATCCTGCCTGCTGCTCTGCTGCTTCTGCTGCCTGCATCCGCCCCTCAGCGCGTCGTTGCAGCTGTCACTTTGACCTCATTATCACCTTCACTACCGTCAGTATTGCACCCTTCATCATCATCGTCATCACCAACATCTTTATTATAATCATCACCAGCAGCAGGCAGCAATAGGGCTATCACCACCATTACCATCATTCTCAATATGCTGCTATTATCAGTGTCATCATTTTACTCATAATGTTCTGAAACGAAGACAGATGCTGGAATCACCATTCTCGCACCCTAACTGTGTGTCTTTGTTGAGCGTGCTGCAGGGGCATTGTGCACTGTGCTGAAACTGCCGCTCCTCCTCCAGACTCTTGTTCACCACCTGTGAGCTTCGCATACTGTTAAGTATGCTGCTAGACATGCGCTCCCATCTTGTGCTCGCTGGCGGTTCAGAAACGCACCCTTCGTGTGCGTTTTTTGTTTGAATATTTCAGCAGGGGGCTGACAAAATGCAGGCAGAAACAGACTGCTGATGACCTCCTTCTCATTGCTTCTTCTTCCTTTTTTCTCTCTCTGTTCAGCCCTCCCTCTGCTCATCGCACATTCTCCCAGGCATCCTCGCTATTTCTCTCACTGTCTTCATCTTCCTAGTCTCTCTCATTCTTTTTTCTCTTCCCGACTCTTTATCACACCCTCCTCTAGTTATTGTGCTTTTCTCATTTTCTTTCTTCCCCCATTTTCTTGCATCTCTTCCCACCTGTCTGTCCTTTCATCCCACTCATCTACTCCTATGTCTCATCACCTTTCTCTTACCCTTCCAATTAATTTACCCTCTCTTTGTTTTCTCTCTCTCCACGGCGTTGTACTCTGCCTGCATGCCTGTCTGTCTGTTCCATAGTGGGCTGTCTGAGGCCTCTGCTCTGCTAATTCATTCGCTGTGCATCACCTCACTTATCTGCAGGGTCAGGCAGACAGAAAGAGAGAGAGAGAGGAGGAGGAGGAGGAGAGGAAAAATGGAGGAAGAGAGCAGGGAAAAAAGAGAACATGGGGCGAAAAAAAGGTGCAGTTTTATCTCCAAGACCCAGAAAGCCAGAGCCAGATCCTGTGGTGGTATATTCCAGAATCTTTCTCGCTCACACACACAGCATATATAGTAGCTGACCATGACCTCCTTCTGCTCACTGCTCACTTTGTCATTTGGATCCCTGATGTTCAGCATTTTCTCTAATCTAATCATTTAACCACATTGCTGCCACTGTCTCTGTTACAAAGGAATGTGCAGCATATGTATAATGTATGTTTGTGTGTGTTGTTGTGCTTCTGGGAGATGCACAGCAGTGTTAGCCTAACTGACCAGGTTAGCATCATCAGATATTTCCCACTAATTCCAACCGCAGGTATCCTACTAACTCTGAAACTCATCTTACACTGCGTATGCCTACTGCACAGTATAAATATGACAAATCAATACCTACATTAATACAGGATTTCTAGTTATGTTTGGTATATTCTTTGGATTAAAACAGCATGTTATAGCTTGTGATGCTCTATTTTGTTAACAGTTGCTTTGAATAGTATAGTGCTACAGATGATTTACTTTACTAGGTTTAGTTTTCGTTTCAGAAGATATTTAATCAGATTTACTAGTGTAGCGGCAGTGGATCTGGTTGTCAGCAAGACACTGCTCTGGGGAGCTCAGTGGGGTTTTTTTTCTGTTAAACTAACACAAGAATCTCTCTGGCTAGTCAAATGAATGTTACAGCATTGTTTGATCTTTTTTAAGAACAAAAAGAGCGAGTGTGATGAAACCTTCTTTGGCGTGTTCATTCTGGTTGCCTTGTAAGGCGTTCTATTTTCTGTGCATTATTTTCCTTGTGAGTCAAAAATAGAAACTGATATGTCAGAAAGCAACTGTGACAAAAAGCCAGAGGCAAACTGAGCGCACACACACATACACACACACACACACACACGCCCTGATACAAACACACACAGTTTCTCACCTCATTCTCTGCAGCATTTCTTCAGTTTGTTCCTATCTCTCATTTCACTCATATGTTGTATCTTTGTCTGTTCTTCCTTCCTTCTCCCATGTCGCTGCAGGTTTTCCTGAGCTGACGGTTTGCGTGGCAGAGTTTCAGCTCGAGTGGAAGTGAGGGAGTGAGGGTGTCATGGATGTCGAAAACCCTCCCTATCAAAACTTGCTGCTCCTGGGAGCCATTGCAGCGGCATCCGCCTTTGTGGTCACCATCTTTATTGTGCTTGTCTGCATTGGCTGCCAAAGGTAAGAGGATGGTCATGTGGCTTGAAACATGAAAAAATTAGGGGACAGACTGAAATTAAAAAAGAGAACAGCCAGACTTTTATTATCTGTGCTGCCCTCCCAGATCACTCTCATCATCCACTCCCTTTTTTATGTTGCTACTTCTTCTGAACTCTTCTCCTCCCTTCTTTGTCTTTGGTCCATCTGAGCAGAGTGGCAGTAATTAATGTTAATGGCTGTTGGATCAGGTGAAATTATGTTTACAGGACACTGAGGAGACAGACCAGACTCAGAGCAGTCTCACCTCGCCCCTCTTAAGCAAACTCTTCAGCAGACAAAAGCAATAGAACAGCACGTGGTTTAAAGGGATCAGACTCCGAACCAGGGAAGAGCAATGGAACAGCCTATGTGGGGTTTTTTTTTTGTTTTGTTTTTTGCAAACCTTCAGTGACCAATCAGAGGCTGCAATGTGACTCTGTTGTGAAACATGAAAAAATTAGGGGACAGACTGAAATTAAAAAAGAGAACAGCCAGACTTTTATTATCTGTGCTGCCCTCCCAGATCACTCTCATCATCCACTCCCTTTTTTATGTTGCTACTTCTTCTGAACTCTTCTCCTCCCTTCTTTGTCTTTGGTCCATCTGAGCAGAGTGGCAGTAATTAATGTTAATGGCTGTTGGATCAGGTGAAATTATGTTTACAGGACACTGAGGAGACAGACCAGACTCAGAGCAGTCTCACCTCGCCCCTCTTAAGCAAACTCTTCAGCAGACAAAAGCAATAGAACAGCACGTGGTTTAAAGGGATCAGACTCCGAACCAGGGAAGAGCAATGGAACAGCCTATGTGGGGTTTTTTTTTGTTTTGTTTTTTGCAAACCTTCAGTGACCAATCAGAGGCTGCAATGTGACTCTGTTGCCATGGGATACACAGATAAGGATGTAGAGGAATGTCAAATCAGCTCATGTCAAGGAAATAAAACCACACTATGGTTAAGATCTAAAAAAAAAAAAGAGATCTATGCTCCCCAGTGATTGTTGTTAATGTCGAGTGGCCAGTTGTTCAGTAGTTCACTAGTTCTGAGTCACTTTTCCACATGCAAATACCATAGACTTTTGAACGAGAGACCTGCTTTTATTGATTTTCTAATGTTGGTTTAAATCCACCTCCGGCACTGACTACTTTTGATACCAAGGATTTTAGTAGCTACGTTGAAGGAGCTCAGTGTAAAAATTCCAAAATAATTGTTGCCCTTCTTCATATGGCTTCATGCCCCCCCTCCCCCCATGTTCCACTATTATGAACATTGCCATGGGGAGCTCTTCGCCCTCTCACAGTCCCCATTGGGTGTGATGGCCATATGTTTATACAAATAGGATGGAGTTCCAGCTGACTAGAAAAGACAAAAGCTAGTGGCAGTAACATGGATCTGACACATATTTCAAGCAGCCTGTAAAATTAGATGAACAGTGTTTGCATGGTTCTTGCACTTGTTAGCAAAGCAGAAATGCTAGTTATTTCTACACAGCACAGCAGTAAAATCTCACATATTGTGTGTAGCAGCTCCTCACCCTCCAAAATGAGAGAAAAACAAGAGGGAGGTAGAACAGTTCTCACATTCACACCAGCACCTAGAAGCTTTTGTCTTCTTACTTCATCTCATCAGTCACTCACCATATCAACAGTTTCCTATAGCTACTGTACAGCCGCCTCCAGGGATCCACAGTGATGCATAACACTGCTCTATATACATTTGCTGCACAAGAACTAATATGAGAGGGCTGTAAAGTAAAGTGGCAAAGGGGATTAGCTTGAAAGAAACGACAAAATAATAATTATGAGTTTGCTTGCTGGTACAATGAAAAGCCATAGAAAAAGTAGAAGGGCATCCTGACTCACACTCCCCTCATTGTTCCTTGTTATCAACCAAGGACTTGTTGGCTGCTGATGGTATGTATCTGCTTTGAGTGTATGCATGTTCTCTCTCTGTCCACTGGCCCCTGTTGACCATCCTTACTTTGATGTTGTGTCAGAAAAAGCAAGAGCAAGCATCCTCCAGCCAGACAGAAAGGGACATCTGTAAATATGGTGAGACATGCTTTCATTTTACTCTTTCACTCCCTCAGCTGACTCCATCTCCTTCTGCTCGTTTCTCTATAAGCTTCCTTCGTCAGCAATTGCTTATATACAGATGCACATGCATGCATTTGCCTGTTTTATTCCTGTATCAAACTGTCCATGTGTGTGTGACAGCAGGGTACACTTCGGCATCCAAAACTGAACTCCATGAGCAAATCTGACACCAGGCTGCATGAGATCAATCGCTTTCCCTGCAATGGAAACTGTAAGTGATGGCTGATAGTTTGTATGTGACAGTATACTGTGTATAATACACAACTCTGAGCTTTTACACTATTTCAGTCCTGCCCTCTCCATCGCTTTCTTTCTCTCCCTCCTCCTCCTCTCTGAGCAGCTGTTAGTAAGAGCCGTCCAGCAAGCATGGACCTCCTGCTCCTCCACAGTCAGCGCTCCCAGACAGATCTGAGGCCCTCCCATGGGCGACAGCTTCCCCAGATCCCCACCAGTCCCCAGGGATCTGGCCAGGGTGGAGGTGGGGAAACAGGAGGAGAGGGGGGAGGGGGAGGGGGAGG